AAGAGACAACTTTAGCAAGTTACGGCCTCCTAAGGTCCCTATCCTACCTCGTTCCAACTGAAAGTGCTTGAAGATGGCACGCATCATGATTCTCCCTACGGGCATCCCACCTGTTGAGATTCTCTCTTGTTCAACCATGTTTTGAAACAGGAGCCCGAACTTACCTTTGCGGCAGGTTTTAAGGAGCTTTGCGGCTACTTCACGATCTAACCGTGGGAAACGCTTGTCCGCGATGAGTTCTTGCTCGGTGGAGGACATGCATGCTTGGGCCCACTGGTACACTTCATCTCCGGGGGTCTTCTGGAGTCGACCGATGGCCATCAAAACTTGATTGACGAAACCTGTAGCCTGTCCAGTGTTCTCCGGAGGGGATGGTAACACGAGATCCTTGAGATCCTTGACGTGAACAACGGACTCCTCATATGCGGCGTGATCTACGGCGGTCATGCCTACGCTGGGATCGGCAGCTTGAGACGGGTCTGCATTGGGGAACTGGCCAGAGCCTCCCCCACCTCCCCCACCACCATTCATGGTGAGGTGTGGGCAATCCGTGTCTTCATGGCTGCCGCCGCAAACTCGACATTGTGGGGTATCATCATCTCCATCGGAGTCTGATGATGAGTCGGAGCTTGCGGCCGATGGCGCTTGTGGGGATGACGAGTACAACCCTCCCAACATTGTGATTGGTACTGGCGGAACACGAGTGCCGTTGCCAGCTTTTGGCGGAGGCGGCGCCCCTGCGAGGAGCGTGGGAGGCGCTGGAGGTGGTGCGGCCGGAGGCGGAGGTGGCGGAGCCACTTGATTAGCAACCAATTGGGAAAGCTGCTGAACCATTTCCGCTAACGCCGTCACTTGCACTCTCACATCGGCTTGATCCCTTGTACCGTCTCTGCCCAACCCGCTAGTCCTCGACGCGCCGGGGGCTGCGTCTCCAACAGAGGACGCTGCTCCTAGCGCTGCCGAATGGCCTGCGAGATGTTGACTTGTTGCAACCCCACCAGGGTCCCTTGAATCAGCTGGGGCATCGTGACCAAGTCCTGAATTTTGAACAGAACCACACGGAGGGTCGGGGATAGTACTTGTAAAAGCATTCCCTTGCGACGATGCGGCAACACCGGAGGCATCTTGTGAATCTGAAACCTGAGGTGCTCCAACCGGCTGATGGGTTCCTGGAGGAACTGTGCCCTGACTTGAGGCTTTAGCCGCGCTTGTTTCCGTAGCTGTTTCGGCTATTGATGCGGCTTTTGGCGGGGACTCTTGCATCGGAACAGGGGTCGCACGAGCTTGTTGGGTGAGTTGCGCAACAACACGTTCGAGATCACCAAGTCGTTGATGCATCACAGAATTTTCCTGGGACAATCCACGAATGGTATGCTCTTGACTGGCAATGGTTTGTTCTCTTTGTGAGATTGCCTGTTGAGCCTCTTGAACAATGCGTTGAACCTCATGCTGAGCGTCCTGTTGAGTGGCATTAACAACCTGTCGTGCGTTCTCGACATGGCCAATGGCTTCCTGTCGTGTCTGCTCGATTAGTTGCCTAGCCTGAGCCTCACTTTGTTGTGCTGTTTGTACAGCCTGCTGTGCTTGCGAAGCTAGCTGAGCGGCCTGAACCCTAACGTCTGATACTTCTCTTACAGCCCTTTCCCTGATCCATCCGGCCTCTTGTCTCGCCTGGTCGGCGGCCTGCTGTTGGTGCAAGGCGTGATTGGCTGCCTGAGCAGCGAGGTCGGATGCTCGATGAGCTTGCTGCACCGCAGCTCCAGCTATAAATGCCGCAGCGGGTACGTTAGTCATCGGGTCAGGTAATTGCGATCCCTGTGAAGGAAACTGAATGACTGGGGAAGCTTCGGATGATGTCGGTTCTGACACGATCGGACCACTCGGGGGTGATGATGGTCGTGTTTGGGCTGCTCGTTGAGGTGTGGATGTGCGAACTGTGGACATAGCTGCAGGAACCATGGCTAGGTCAGGGTCATCCGGTTCAGAATCCCTATTTGGGGTTGACCTTGAACGGGGTTCTGATGGCGGTGATAAGCCCGTTGAAGCCATGACACAGCGATGCAATTTTGCACTCACACGAAGCTAGCTCCACGCGCTTTGAGCAGCGTGTCAAAAGGTGCTACGAGGAGATATCCCTGGATTGGCAGCTGGTTGCGAAACGCTCAAGTGAGCCACTCAAGAAAATACGCCCTGCTGCTTTGCACCTGATGAATTCTGTATTTGTAATTGTACTTGTAGATTGATTGATCCGCACTGCCGCACTATGGTGCTTTATCGAGGGATGTTGCCAAGCTGTGTTGAGAATTTGTCTGCAAATCGAATGCCTGTAACTGCAAAGATGCTGTACCGCGCAAAGCGACGGTTTTAACGGCTTGCAAGAAAGGCTATCGAAGTACCCGGCTGGCGGGCAACTGGGATGCAGATCGGTGGAGCTCCTCGAGGTACTGCGATGGATGCAGGCCCCTTGCCGCCGGAATGAATTGTCTGTTCCGGGACTCGATAAACTCACCAAGGTTCTCAAGTGCGTTGGCAAATCCGCTCGGCCCGAAATGCGGGAAGTTGCGGAACGCCGCGATGCCTGTCTTTTGAGCTTCACGGACAATCGATGCTGTATCGTCAATAAGGGCGTGAACGCCCAGCCCTTGAAGGGCGTCTGCTTTGCCTCCCCTACCCAACCTTTCGTGTACGATTTTTATCGCAGAGAAAGTGAGTCCAGATGTCGCCCGCGCGTGCTCCAGGGCGACCTGGAACTCGCGGCGGCGAAACTCGCTTGCAGCCCTACCCACGAAGGATAGCACTATAAAATTTATAGGTGCGTAGTCGGCTGCAAATTGAACGAGATGTCGGATCACCTCCGGGTTGAGGTGGGGTCCCTGCTGCCCAACGTCAAGAACTCCGTGCCAGTCAAGAGCGATGACAAGCTCCTTGGGCGGCACAGGCCTTCCAGGCGGCGGTGGTGGCGGCGGTGGCGCAGGCGGTGACCTTCTTGGTGGCGATCGAAAGCGTGGGCCAGCCTCGGAAGTTGCAGCGCTAGCAGCAGCTGCTTTAACGACCTGCGGCGGTGGCGGCTTGACGATGTACCCAGTTGGCGGGTTTGAGCTCGATTTGCTTCTGGGTTCGGCCTTGTTCAAACCTCGCGGAGGCGCCTTGTACCCGAATGCACTCTGAGTCCGAATAGGAGACCTTGCTCGTGGCGGTGATTTCCTCGGAATATCTGCTTTTGCCGGTACCGAAGAAGCTGCCCGGGGGATTTCCTTGGGCAATGGAGGCTTGCTGCCAAAAATGACCTTTGGTGCGGCCTTTGGTGGCGGCGGTTGAATTGCTCCAATTCTCCGGCTATGCAAAGCAATAGGCTCAGTGTGAGTCGGTGCCTCGTATACGCGCCGAGGCACGTAAGCTGCCCTGCCAGTTCTGATGGATTCCGCGTCTTGCGGAGGTTCCTCTTCCGAGCTGTAGGCGTCGAGGCGGAAGTGCTCCGCTGGCGCTGGGCGTCGATCTGGAGATCGTGATCGCGAGCTCGTGGATGATCTTCTTGGGGGATCTCTCCACGTCTCGTCCGCGAGCGAGTACGGATCAGCCTGACGGAGTTGTCCGGATGTTCGCTTTGCTCGGCGGTGAGATGTCGCCTCACGTGGCTGTGAAGCCTCCCGAACGAGTACCCAGGTGCCGTGCTCGTCAAATCGTGTCACAGGGTATATGCTGTTCTGTGGGGCCAAAACGATGGGCCGTGTGGCAAGGGAAGTCCTGGATGGCCTGCCCTCCCGCGCAAGCGCGGGTTCAACACTGTGTGCCCGTTGTTCCACAGGGGTAGCAGCAGTTGGTCCTCGTCTCGGAGATGATGATGGAGACCTCGGCCTTCGGGACGATGGGGACCTCGATCTTTGTGTTGACCGTTCCCTGCTGCTCTCCCGCCGCGTTTCCGCAGCTTTAGCGTACACCCCGCGAAGCGCTGTCTTGGCGGCGCCCCGCAACACTTGTCGTTCCTCTGCTGATGGTCGAATGCGAGGCAAAGGAGTGCGCGAATCTTGTAGCCAGGATGAAGCTGAAGGAGGCGTCGGAGGGCGTAGCCAGTCCGCTGCACTGCCTGCTGCCTCTGCCGCGCCTGAGGCTGCGGCTTGATCCTGAGATTGCACACCTTGCGGCAAGACCACACCTGTGGTTTCAACCGATGCGAGACGCTGCTGATAAGCGTTGTCCGCGGCCTGGATCACTTCGAAGGCCTCTTGGTCAAAATCCCACAGGTGCCAACTATCCAATGACTCACGCCAGGAAAAGAGCGCCTCGACCTGTTGCTTCGAGGCGTCTGCAAACCTGACCCACCGGAATCGTCTGTTCTGTCGCTTGTACTCGTCGACGACGATCTGCTGCAGAGTATTGAAAAGACGGGCACGCGGCCCTTTCCCACCGCGAGTGCCGCGGCGAGGGCCGGCTTCCATGTGCGACCAAACGGTCGCAGTCACGGAGGGGTTTGTTTACCCGAAAAGCGTTACGGCTGATAACCACTCAAGGGAGAGGGAAACACAGTTTTGTCAACAACGGGGGAACCCGGGACCTTAAAAGGAACGAACCCCTCCGTGACTGCGACCTCTCCCTTAACTTTGTGGCAGCGCGTGCAACGCGCTCTTTTCTTGAGCCAAAGCAATGACATGTGGTCATGTCACTGTTCTTGTACCTTGCAAACATGAGTGCCTACCTCATGAACCTCTGGGCCATAAATGTCATCGTGATAATTGACTGCTTCTGTGTGAAATTTGGGCCATCCCCGCATCGCTTCGTTCGCATGATACTCTCACGCCTTCCCCTGAGAGACGCAGGCTGGGGGATGGCTCCAGCGTTCAGCACAACAAAGAAAGGATGCCGGTTTTGTTTTTTCTTCTTTTTCTTCTTTTTTTCCAGGGCGGTGAGCGGCCTCATCATTTTTAGCTGGATCGACCCGACGCGACGCACGCGACGCCGGTGCCCTCTTGGTTCCTTCGCTCCCCCCGCGCGCTCCGCTTGGCCTGGGTGAGCTCGAAGGAGGCGTTCTCTTCACAGGACCGCCTGAGCTCTCACTAGACACTTCCTATGTCGGAAGTAAGCTATGCCAGCTGTGATAGCATGTTAGTAAGCTATGTCCTCAACTTCCTCTAGCTTAATACGACATAGCATCTTGGAAGTAAGCTATGTTAGAAGTTCCTCAGTTCCTCAAACAATCGTGGAACTGGGCTGTCCGTTTTCAGATCCCCCGCTCAACGTGACTAACTTTTAATCGATTAAATGGAAACCCCATCAAACACTAAAAGATCTAAAAAGCTACGGAACCGGATGGCTGGGAGTCACCAAGACAAGTACATGTTTGTTTCATCTAGGATCTTCAGTAGAGAGGTTAGAATAAGGGTACCCTTTTTTCTGTAGTCTATTTTAGTAGCGGAACCCTCCCCAAAAAAGGGCAAAAGGGCACTACTGGAACAAACATGGAAGTGAGCTAAGGAGCGAAGCTCGCGAGCTTAGCATCACTTTGAACATCAGAGCATTTGCAGCTCACTGACGCTGAAGCTACCGGCGCAACACGAGCTGCTGACTCCAAGGGCCAACTTACATACCACAAAATGGAGATACCCTGTACCCATGTATAACCACTACTTTTGGTTGGTATGTCCATTTGGGGTATGCAAGTGGGCTTCTTTTCTGCTTACGCCTGCCAGGCTGCACATAGCCAGCTGGCCCCGTGAGCCAATGGAACTTCGGGCCACTCAGGTCTCGGGCTGACTCTCGGCCTCTTTAGTCACAGTACCAGATCCAGTTTGGAGCATAGGCGGCCTTTGGGAAAAATCGATGGGTTTCCCTGGTAAATGGGTCAAACCACTTGTAAACCAGTGGAACCCAGCTATTTTTAACCGGGCTCACCTAAAAGGACACCTATGGTGTGGAGCATTCACTCAGCAGGTGTGGATGCATGTTAAAGTTCGAGACTTGGCGGAGTGCTGGCTGCCATCTTGGAAGCGTGCTCCGAAGTGAGGTAGCTCGGGCAGTTGACATCCGAGGCATTGACATAGTGGGATTTGACTAGTTGCATGTGAGCCATGGTCCAAATGACCATTTCCCCGAAAGGCCATGGGACAATTTGGGCTGGGGAAACTTCGAGCTCCATGTGCCCTTCAACTGGACCAAAAACTGATTTTGACCCACCTGTCCCTGCGCCCCAACCAAGAAAAACAACGCGTGTCGAGCTTCTCGATGTTGTGGCCCTCGTCGAAGATGAGGATGCTATTCTTCAAGGATACCTGGCAAGGGCGGCAAGTCTCGTCTCGAGGATCGTCCGGCTATGTCAATGAGGAACTGGTGGACATGAACCTATGCTGGAATTAGGACCCTAGCAAAAAACATCTTTTTTGCCTGGTTAGTGGAAAACAGAGTGACTCCAAACAAGCAAAAAACAAAACAAAACGGGGAGCTGATTCTGGGGAAGCTAGGTCATGTCCACCAAAGGGTCCCCGATCAAATTGCCCATCCAACTGTTCGGCTCGGGTGAAGCATCGCTTCACTTCGACGAATTGGACCTTGCCCTGTAAGCATTGGGCACTAGGCCATCAATCTTGCTTCGTCCGACAAGCATTGGGTGCTGGCGTGTTTAGCCCTGACGCGACTCTCCGAAGCTGGTTGCAAATGGGTCTGTCTCTTTTGGGGGAACCCTTTTTGGTCGCTTTTGCTCGGGAACAGCGAAACCCATTTTGGTGGCCCGTCTTCCCAAAAACAAAACACGCACCCAAAAAGGCCGCCGATGTCTGAGCATGCCAACCGCGCCTGCAGGCTGTCTCTGGTTTGCGCGCTGATGAGGTAGTCGTACGGCAGCAACAGAAGCTCCGCCTCTTTGGCATCCTCCCGCACCTTGCAATATGCGCAGGAACCGAGCGTTAGGGCGAGGTGAGCAAGGCCAAGGGAGCAACCTTGCGGGTGGCTTGTCTATTTTAAAGGGAACCCACCAAAATGGCGGATCTCGGCTTTCCAAATTTGGGCTTCCCTGTAAGACGCGAGCAACAGGGCGTCGCCTCAAGAAAAGAGAAACCCACATTGTATGGGGTTTTGTCTCAAACATAGGGGGGAACCTCAAACAAATCGGTAGGCACACACACACATACATTGCTTGAGGAAGCTGAGGAGTTGAAGCAGCAGGTAACCCACAATGTGGGTGTGTCATTCTGTAAGGGCCCTTCTGCGGTTCATGTTCGGCCAGCATTTAGACCTCGGGGTCCCTTATTTAAAGAGACCAAGCCATGAGGCAAAAATGGCCCAACTTTACCCCTTTTCCGCGCAACTCAACTGGCTCCGCTGGACTGGCTCCCCCGAACCGCCCGCTGCCCGCATGCGCTGTCGGTCTCCCGGCCTTGAAGTAGGGGCAGACCGTGGCCTCGCGGCAGCTCTCGACGATCTCCTCGATGTCTTTGAGCGCCGTAGAGACCTACCGCGAGGAACTCTGCACAAAAACCCCCGTCGAAAAATCTCCTCCCAACGAGCAGAGAGCCGGGGAACGGCTCCTGGGAACGACTCTTTTCTCCTTTTCAGGGGTTCCCCCTGGTTCGGTGAGTGTTTTGGGAGGGTAATTACCCTTTTCAGGCTTGGGGAAAGAGACCCAAAGCCAAGGAGAGCTTGTTCGGGAAAGGAGAAGGAAAGAGATGGGCTTTTGACACCCACACACACAACTGGTTCCCAGGTTCCCCAAGATCCAGGACACGAAGGACCTCAAACCGGACATATCCAGCAACATAAGTGAGCTTCCTTCAACCCTGTAGACTCCAGACTCGGATCGTACTTCGGGTCAAGTAAACGAATCGAGTTCTCGCCCCAAGCACCAACTTGCTTCAGCAAGTTGTTGCCAGCATCGGCCTTCCCTGTCGAATTCCTTGATTCCAGTGTGCTGGAACATTGTCATACACCCTCTACAACTGTCCCGAGTACAGTCTCCATCCAGAAACACGCCGGCTTTTCCACGTTGGCGCCTTGCTGCCACATTTGCGGAAGCCTGTGTGGAAGGGGCAGCGATGATCCTTGGCAGTGATGCTTCTCCGCTGTTCATAGATGTGCCTTTCCGCATCGGAATATCAACTTGGATCTGCTCATCAAACCCTACTTGACGTGTGTTCATTGCTGGCAGTCGCTCATGTGTGCATGTGTGTGCGCTTGCGAATCCCCTGCTACCTTAGCAGCTCGGTACACAAGCCATCCTTATTCCCTTCTTCGGCGTTTTTGTCTGGGCCAGTGCATGCGCCTGTTGACGCCAACACCGAGTAATATCCGGGATCCCAACAAGCTGTCCACAAAAAGCAAAACGCGGCCATGGGTCAAAATCCAAATCGTACTTTCAGTGAACATCCCAATCCACACTAAAATACTGTGGATGGACGAAATCCATTTCGCACCACCTAAGAAATCCTGGAATGATGATTCCCCTGCAAATACCGACCAACAATGGTTTCCCATGATTCTAAAGTGGTGCGAACGGATTTCGTCCATCCACATAGGAAGCCTAAAATGGGCGGTGAATTCACCAATCCCCCAAAGTGGGATCCCATTGGACAGCCAGCCACACAAATGCTTCCCCACTCCAGCCAGCGGCGTCCACGACGCGCCGGCACATGGCGTTCTGCCGCGCGCCAGTGTGCCGCATCACGGAGCTATGCAGGCAGAAGTGCCTCGGAAGGCGTAGGATGGGAGAAGGGAAGTTGGCCTGAGCTCAAAATTCGAGCAAACCACGTGTTTGTTACCCTCTTTTCCACTAACATAGCACCTGTGGGAGGGTACCTGGAAGATAAATTTCCTCTTGTAGGGAGGCTCTGACAGGTGCCAGGTTAGTGGGAGCGAGGGCAATCCGAATTATTTTGCTTAAAGAAAAGCAAAGACACTTTACGGGTTGGTACAAATATGTATGTTGTTGTGCCGAAGTCTTCGTGGGCGGCTAGTCTCTGCACCCTGAGGCCCCGGCTGCCGCGAACCAAGCATCACGCTCCAGGGCTTGTAGCTGGTCTGCTTCAACTCCTTCATGACCTGTGCTCATGGACCCCTACTAGGATCTCCAGTAGAGAGGTTAGAATAAGGGTACCCTTTTTTCTGTAGTCTATCTTAGTAGCGGAACCCTCCCCAAAAAAGGGTAAAAGGGCACTACTGGGGGACCTAGCCTAACAAAGGACCTCCCCAGTTTGCCCCCCAAGGGGGGTCCATGGTGTGAATGGGAGAGCGGCAACCAAGCCGGAAGGGATGCCGAGGTCATGGCAAGATGAGAATCCGGTTAATTTCTTCGAGTGCAAAGCTGATGGGATTGATTCCCTCTCACCTGCGTTACGTGGCCCAGCCTCGGCTCGCAGGAAAGCCAACAGCGCACACCGTTGAAGCAAACATATCAGTGCTGTGCTAAGGGGTACTGGATGACTCCGGCATTGATGGTTAAGTGAGCGTACCACGTCTGCCTGCTCATAGTCATGCTAGACCGGGAACCATAGTGTGGACAAATATCTAACAACACGTGCGCTGTGCTGTGTTCTACCAATGAGTATGGCAAATTATATGACGAGTCATGCTAGTAATTGCAATGTGGCCGTGGGTCCAAAGCCCGTACCCCCAGTGAACATCCCAATCTCCACTAAAATAGGTTCTAAAATGGATCCCATTGGTTTTGACCACAGCCATGTTGCCAAATCTTGAAGTGTGGTTGTGCTCACATAGAGGGCAGCATCGAATGTCACTGACGGCAGCTCCACTAGCTTGGCCAATTCCCCTGAAAAAGATCAAACTCAATGTGCCCATCCGTCAACTATCGCCATCACGATTGCGATTGCCGCCTGCTTCAGCTGCGTGTGAGTCCTGCAAATGTCAACGTCCCTGACAACATGGTTCTTTATCCACAACCCTTTTAAACGCCCCTTATCAGCATTCTGCTTCATCCGCAAGCCTTTCTAAGTCCCTTGAAAACATTCTTCTTCATTCACAGCCCTTTTCAACCGCCCTTGACAACATCCTGTTTCCTCCACAACCACTTTCTACGTCCCTTGACAACATCCTTTCTCATCCACAACCCTTTTAAACGTCCCATATCAGCATTCTACTTCATCCGCAAGCCTTTTTAAGTCCCTTGGAAACATTCTTCTTCATTCACAGCCCTTTTCAACCGCCCTTGACAACATCCTGTTTCCTCCACAACCACTTTCTACGTCCCTTGACAACATCCTTTCTCATCCACGACCCTGTTAAACGTCCCATATCAGCATTCTACTTCATCCGCAAGCCTTTTTAAGTCTCTTGGAAACATTATTCTTCATTCACAGCCCTTTTCAACCGCCCTTGACAACATCCTGTTTCCTCCACAACCACTTTCTACGTCCCTTGACAACATCCTTTCTCATCCACACCCTTTTAAACGCCCCATATCAGCGTTCTACTTCATCCGCAAGCCTTTTTAAGTTTTTTTTGGAAACATTCTTCTTCATTCCCTTGACAACATCCTGTTTCCTCCACAAGCACTTTCAACGTTCCTTGACAACATTGTTTTTAATCCGTAACCCTTTTCAACCTCCCTTGACAACATCCTTTTTCATCCACAACCGATTCCAACGTCCCTTCACAACATCCTGTTTTATCCACCCTTTTCAACTGCAAGAACCAAGTTGACTAGCAAGTATCACGGGAAAAACTGCTTACAAACCCAACCTCCAACACGAAGCACCGGGAGCTACCCTCACTTCCCAGCGTCCTGGAGGAGTAGAAAATCTTCGGCACGTGGGCGGCGCTTGGGCCGCCCTGCGCTTCCCAGCTGGTGCGGGCTGCATCCACCGCCTGTGAATTGCTTTTTGCGTTTCTCTTCGGTGAATATCGGTGTGTCCTCTTGAGGGTGCCCCCTTTTCTTGGTGGGAAACAGAAACCAACAGGAATTCCGAAAGCCATTTTTTTTTGGGGGGGGGCGGGCGGGGGCCGATTCCGAAACACAAAAACACACCCATATTCAACCCTAAATCTGTTACACTGGTTTGGATTGCTATTTTGGGACCATCATTTGGACCTTCGTGTCCACCACTTGAAGGGGGTTCCTATTCAAATTCATGACCACGCCTTTTGTTTGTTGTTCATCGTCAAGGGAAAAGCTGTAAGATATTACCAAACGTTGACCCACTTGGAGCAGGGTGAGAAATTTGGCTGGAGGGAAGCCAGTTTTGTTCATTGCTTCAGATTTGGTTTAGGATTGGTTTCGGGGAAACTCAAGTGGGTCCGGAGTGGGTCTGACCCAGGGTTTGTTCTTGCAGCCGGAGGTAAAATGTACCCTTGGTTCTGTTCAGCGCCAGGACAACAATGCTCTCAAGCAAAAAGATGAGCACATGACTATATGGGGATAAAAAATTCTCCCCGTCTCATCTGTACAATTCGCTTCCAGCTATGAGTGCAGAGCAACATTCCGGGAGCCCAGACCAGTCCGGGCCCCATCAACCGTGCCTCTGCAAAGCTTTGGCTGAAGAGCAGAATTTAAGACTACACGTCAGTCACGTCAATGTTGGTTTCGCAGCCGTCTACTCTTTAGACAGCCACGCCTCAGCTGCCCTTTCCAGCTGCATGTCATCACCTACATCCTTGAAGGAGCTTGCCCACTTCACGACGCCGTGCTCCAGAAGCAGGAACTTCTCCGGCCACAGACCCCACTGAATGGTGAGAGCATCGTCCATGCCGTCCACCAGCACCACGCCCAGCGTCTCCGCGAACTCCGGCCAGGCTTCCAGGAAGTCTTGTGCTGCCGCCAGTCGCTCTGAAAGGGACGCGTGGTTCCTCGGCGCAGCGTGGCTCAAGGGCCAGGAATCCGCAGCGTGGGCCTCGCAGAGATACACAAACACAATGGTGCATGAACGGAACGAGTCCAGAGTGCGAAGCAACGATCCTTCATTCAGCTTTGCAAGAAAGGGAGGTCAGGACGATGTAGATGCTACTACAAGTGCTCGAGGCAAGTCAGCAAGCAGTGCTCCAAGGTTATACTGAGCACCGCAAGGCGAGCAGTCGACCCGGTGCATAAGGCCACTCAGCAGCTTCCCTGCAAGCTGAACATCGGGGCGGAAAAGCCTGTCGTTTGCTCGCAGGAAGAAGATGTCCGCGCGATCCTCAACATCCAAAGAGCTCGCCGCTTTTCGGTACTGCACTGCATCCCCCTCTGTCAAACCGTGAATCTGCAGGGCCTTGGTCTCTACTTCTGCATCCAAGAATGCCGGTGGCACAGAGCCGCAGTCATAGTGCTTTGCGGTTGCAGTAATGTATGGCTTACTCAAGCGCAGCAGCGCTTCGGTTCGCAGAATGGGCAGACACCAGGGCTCAAATTGATCAACTTTTTTGGGTAGCAAATCCGGGCTGCAAACGACGTCTTGCAGCAAGTCCTTTGCTTCGATTTGACCTGTGCTGATGCTCGATGGCGATGAGAGCCCTTGCGCTTCCGGAGCGCTTTTTGCCTTCGACGTGCATCGATGCATAGGGTTCAGGTCGGCATAGGAGCTTGATGCATCCTGACCACGCCTGATCTTTTCCTGCTTGGAGAACATGCTGCTCATCTTCATTTTGGAAGATACTATTGGCATTCTCATGGCAACACAAATGGGGACAGTGGCAACACAAATGTCCCCACTTGAGCCAGATGCGAGTTTGTTTATGTCTGTATTCTCTGTGATTGTGTGCCGGTTTGGTGCGCGTGTGTCTGTTTAAGATAGAGAGAGAGAGAGGGAGCGAGAGAGAGAGAGAGAGAGTGCGAGAGAGAGAGAGAGAGAAGAAAAATATAGAGAGAGAGAGAGAGAGAGAGAGCACACGCCATGCCACAGAGCGTGACTGTAGATATACTCATATTCAAGCAGCATCTTTCTTTAAAGGGATGATACATGCTCACATGAAAACATCCCGCGATCCCTCCCACCCCTGCGCCACCACTCCTGCTGTCGGTGCCGCCGCCAACCCAAGCTTGCGCAAAGCAGGCAAAGCCTCGGGGTGAGAAAGCGGCTCATTGCTCTTGCAGCTGTTGTTGCTGCTGTTGTTGCTGCTGCTGTTGCTGCTGTCGCTGCTGTCGCTGCGGTCGCTGCGGCTGTTGTTGTTGTTGGTGATGGTTGTGGTGGGGGTGGTGGGGGTGGTGGGGGTGGTGGGGGTGGTGGTGGTGGTGGTGGTGGCGGTGGTTGTGGTGGTGGAGATGTGGTTGTTCTTGTTCTTGTTTTTGTTATTGGGGGTGGTGTCTGTTGGTGGTGTCGTGGTGCGTGGTGTTGTTGTTGGTGGTGGTGGCGTTGTTGTTGTTGTTGTCGTTGTCGTTGTTGTTGTTGTGGTTGTGGTTGTGGTTGTGGTTGTTGTTGTGGTTGTGGTTGTGGTTGTTGTTGTTGTTGCTGCTGTTGCTGTTGCTGTTGCTGTTGCTGTTGCTGTTGCTGTTGCTGTTGCTGTTGCTGTTGCTGTTGCTGTTGCTGTTGCTGTTGCTGTTGCTGTTGTTGTTGCTGCTGTTGTTGTTGTTGCTGTTGCTGTTGCTGTTGCTGTTGCTGTTGCTGTTGCTGCTGTTGTTGTTGTTGTTGCTGCTGTTGCTGTTGCTGTTGCTGTTGCTGTTGCTGTTGCTGTTGCTGTTGCTGCTGTTGTTGTTGTTGCTGCTGCTGTTGTTGCTGTTAATGCTGTTGATGATGTTGTTGCCTTTGTTGTTGCCGTTGTTGCTGTTGCTGTTGCTGTTGCTGTTGCTGTTGCTGTTGCTGTTGCGGTTGTTGCTGTTGTTGTTGTTGTTGTTGGTGAAGGTGGTGTTGTTGCGGCTGTTGTCGCGGCTGTTGTCGCGGCTGTTGGTTGTTGTTGGTTGTTGTTGGTTGTTGTTGGTTGTTGTTGGTTGTTGTTGGTTGTTGTTGGTGGTTGTTGGTGGTTGTTGTTGGTTGTGGTTGTTGTCGTTGTTGTCGTTGTTGTCGTTGTTGTCGTTGTTGATGTTGTTGGCGTTGTTGTCGTTGTTGTTGTCGTTGTTGTCGTCGTTGTCGTCGTCTTCGTCGTTGTCGTTGTCGGCTCGTTCTCGTTCTCGTTCTCGTTCTCGATCTCGTTCTCGTTCTCGTTCTGGTTCTTGTTCTGGTTCTTGTTCTTATTCTTGCTCTTGCTCTTGCTCTTGTTCTTGTTGTTGTTGCTGTTCCTGCTGCTGTTGCTGTTGCTGTTGCTCTTGCTGTTGCTGCTGCTGTTGCTGTTGTTGTTCTTGTTCTTGTTCTTGTTCGTGTTCTTGTTTTTTGTTCTTGTTCTTGTTCTTGTTGTTGTTGTTGTTGTTATTCGTGGTGGTGTTGCTGTTGTTGCTGCTGCTGCTGTTGTCGTTGTTGGTTGTTGTTGGTTGTTGTTGGTTGTTGTT